CCCACCACTCTCCCACACCTGACAGCTGGGCGTGGACATGCTCTGTCCCTCCCACCACTCTCCCACACCTGATGACTGGGCGTGGCTATGCTCTGTCCCGCCCACCACTCTCCCACACCTGACAGCTGGGCGTGGCCATGCTCTGTCCCACCCAACACTCTCCCTTGCCTGATGACTGGGCATGGCCATGCTCTGTCCCACCCACCACTTTCCCTAGCCTGATGACTGGGCGTGGCTGTGCTGGGGATTTGCTGTTTCTTCACCTACGTGCAATAATGTGCTCCTCACCTGACCCCTCCTCCATGATGTTCCAGGAACTAAAGGAAATGCAGAAGGGATTCTGTGGCTGGAACTAACCACAAGCCACTGCTATGGGGTTCTGTAAACTCTAGAATGCCCCTGTCAACTGTGGCAGGGCAGGAGAAGATGAGGGAGAGGTGTGAGGAAGATTGGATGGTGACCCTAGAGGAAAGGAGTTCCCAGCCATGGCACCGTCTGGGTTCACCTTCCCAACACCTTTGTTCTTACTTCTGTCCAGGTCACCAGAGATCTTGCCTATCCAACTGCAGTTTGGTAATTTCAATCAGTTAGAGATTACAATGGTGATAACAACAATGAACATGAATGACGACGACAGGCCACCTACTGTTCTTAACACTTTGCATGCATTAATGCATTTTGCCCATGCACAGCTGGGGGTGGGGGGCTTTATTTTTGTCATTTCCTCATTGCTGAAGAGGCAACAGTGGATCCAGTGGTTAAGTGTCTTTTTCCACATCACACAAGAATTAGAGGTGGGCTGACTTGCTTCCCAGCATGCTTTTAGCCCCTGTGCTGCACATTCAGTGGTCTCAGGACCTACTCAGGAGGTCAGGACCAGCCCTGCTACATCAACCACAGTATCTGAGGCCTGGCCTGCTGCCTGGCACGGCAGGATGTCCAGTCCAAGCAGTGGGCCGAGACAGGGCCCAGACTCCCTGTGCTGTCCTGCTGGGTAGAATGCAGCTCTCCTCTAGATTTTAACATTTAAGATGGAAACTTGCTTCCTTTCCCACCAGAGATCTACTCAACAAATGAGAAAACCGAGACTCAGACAAAACCAAAGGAAACATGACAAGAGGCTAACACCTGTCTCTCTAAGGGGACCAAGTGCTCCTCTGTGGTTGGGACTCCATTACCCACATCACTCTGTGGTCATCTGGCCCCACTTGCTATCCTGGCCTGGGCCACCACCAGGAGACCTGGGCACCCTCCACCATCTGAGAGGTACATCAGCCAGGGAAGCCTCCTGAGTGGAGGAGAAAGGAGCAGGATGCAGGACTGTCCACCCCACCGGGTTCCCACCAGGTGGGGCCGACAGAAGCCCCAGAGCTCCTGGGAGGGCAGCAGGGGCGGGCGGGGATGGATGGGGAAGGACACTGCACTCACCTTCCGTCCAGAGCCCTTGCAGCCCCACTGCCAGTTCCTTTCCATGTTTCGATACCAGTTGAGGGGACCTCTGGAGAATGGATCAGAAAGTCACATAAGAGGAGCGCCTGACCGCTATTTCCCCTAAAGGAGCCGCGCTGCACACAGCCAGCCATTCTGGGGGGAGCCCAGCTTTCTGCAGGGCAGGACAGACTCTGGACTCACGCCTGGCATGGGGCACACTCGCCCAGCTCTACCCAGCAAGGCCCGGTGCAGCCACAGGAGCTCCGCCAGAGGGGGCTTTGGGACCCATGGGAGCTGGCCCTGGGGGACTACCCTGGCTCTTGGAGGGACATGTTCAGGGAGGCTGCTGAGGACAAGAGCTTGGATCAGCCCTTGCCACCCAGAAGACACTGGCCTCCTCCAGGAACCCACAGCAAAGGGACAGTGGGAGGTTGTGGAACGGTGTCAGAGGCCTGTGACAGAGGTGCACTGGGTATGCTATTCTTGATTTATATATATATATATATATTTTTTTTTTTTTTTTTTCTGAAGACAGAACCAGCGTTACCATCTGATCCTCAGAGGAGTTGTGACTGAAAAATAATTTAAACTCTCTGGTCTGCTGGGACCCACAGCCACAAAGAAAGAGCAGCTGGGCCACCCAGAAGGAGGCTGGGCACATACACAGCGAGCCTCTGACACTGGGGCACTCAAGCAGAGGCTGCCCAGGCCCTCCTGGGGGCTGCGGTGGAGGGGACCTGGGTCCCCACCCTGAGCCAGCCTCCTTCTCCACCCCCAGCTCGCCCCGGGTGGGGCACTGTCCTCTTTACCTGAAGCCGGATTTCCTGAACTGCTGCACGTAGAACTGAATCTCCTCCTCCGAGACCATCTTGCTGAGGCTGGGCTCTTCCGGGGTATTCACAAAGAGTCCTCCTGCAGGAAAGCACCCGCTTTCTCTCCAGCCGCAGGCCGGGAATCCAGGTCTGCGGCTGGGGCTCCCAGCGGAGGTTGCGCACCTGGGCGCCTCTCACATCTCAACAGGGAGCATCGCTGCTCTTCCTGCTCTCACTGAGCCCCTGCCCACTCTAGCACCAAGCTTGTGATCTCACGGTCACTCTGGAGCCCAGACGTATCCCCCACACTGGCCTCAATGTCGCCAGCTGCCACCGTGGCTCTGGAACAAACCTCAGCACAGCCCTGCTCCCAGCATGTGCCCACCACTCAGCTCCAGGATGACACTGCTCAGGCAGACGTCCGTCCTATTCAGGGCCCCGATGCCCCCCCACTCCCACTCGCCCTTGGGGACTGAGCCTTTTCTGAACAGCTGGACTAACTCTGTCCCTCAGAGAGTCCCGAATCCACAGGTGCTTGGTCTGGTTTCCCTCCTGGCCAGGAAGAACCCAGGCCAGGGGCTCCCATGCTGCTACCTTCCGATCTCACAGACCTCCTGTGGGTTCTCGGCACGGAGTCCCATCCGGTTGTCAGAGATGCACTGTGTCCCCGCAGCTCCCATGCCCCAAGGGTGACCGTGGTGCCTCCCAGCAGCCCCCAGGGCTACCAACACTGGCGCCTGGGTGGGACCAGCTCGCCATTATCAGGCTCAAAAGCCTGGAGGCACAGGCAGGTCACTCCAAGTTTGCCTGCTGTAGGTCAAGGGTAAGTGGCCAGCCGTGGGCCGTGACAGGCTGGTGCTGCTGCCCCGCTGGGCCCTGTGTCCTCTCTGCGCACCCTGCCTGTTTCCTCCGCTCTGTTACTGCTGATCTGCCTCCCCGCCCTGCTTGTGGTGCCTGCGTATCTGCAACAGCCAGCTCTGCTCACCAGGGTGTGCGCAGAACATTTGAGGAACAAACGAATGAATGAGCAGATGAAGAAGGTGGAGGCAGGGTGGAGATCAGAGGGGTGAACCCTGCTGGGCCCTCCTGGCCACATCACCCTCTGGGACCCATCCTCTCCATGTGTGGTACAGAGAGCATCCCGGCACCACTGGGGATGATAAATGAGCCCAGTGCCTGGGGCGCACTGTAGGTGCTTAGGCAAGTGGCAGTGATCTTCGCTACTAATAAAACACAAGGGGATAATGGCAAGGGCATCATGTTGGGGGGAATAGAAGGTTTTGTGGGGACAGTGCTGGGTGTAGGCGTGGATGAGCTCCCACCTGAGCTCCACTTACATCCAGCCACGGGGTGAACAAGGGCGGCCTCAGGGAGGGAGCAGAATGGCTGGAGCAAGGAGCCTCGGGAAGGAATACCTGGGGGGCCAGGACGGAGGGTGGGGTCTAGTCCCATCCTCCTTGCACATGACAGGTGATCCCACGGCCTGGGCTCACGTCCCCCTCAGTAGAGGGCGGACGGTCCCAGCCAAGCTCCAAAGGTCCTTTGAGCTCCAGCTACTGAAGATCTTGGTCCCAGCTCCCTAGAGGAAAGCCTGAGGTGCTGTGACCAGGCCAGGGTCAGGGTCAGAGTGAGCACCAAGTACCACCCTGCAGGGACATTAGCTGGGCAAGCCAAGTTCAGGATTGGAAGGGAGGCTCGGGCTTCTGCCACCGCAGTGTCCAGCTGACCCTTCTCTGCGAGGCAGGACTCTTACCCATTTCTCGGACTTTGTGCACAGCCAGAAAGCCCTGCGGGAAGGAGAGTTGGAAGGAGTGTCATGAGTGAAACAGGCACTGAAGCAGGTCATCAAAGCCAGCCTCAGCAATTTAGTGAGGCCCTAAGCAAATCAGGGAGACCCTGTCTCTAAATGAAATACAAAAAAGGGCTGAGGATGTGGCTCAGTGTTCAAGGGCCCCTTGGTTTAATCCCTAGTATCCCCCCCACAAAAGAAATATACAAAGGAAGGAACTAAATAATAAAAATAAAACAAAACCACAAAAAAATCAGAATGCTTTAAAAAAGAACCAAATAAAGCTTTCATAAATTAAAAAAAGCTATTCATTGAAATTAAAAATTAAACTTTAAAGAAGGGTAAATGGTAGATTAGATACCATAGTGTCTTAGACAATTCATTACCTAAAGACAATTAGTAAATACAGAGGAGTGAACACCTGAGACAGATTTCTCAAAAGCAATAACAGAGAGAATTTTATACTTAGATAAACCATTCTTCAAGATCAAAAGCAAAAATAAAGATATTTTCAGGCCCCAACAGTCTGCTAACAGACTTATTGAGAAAACTACCAAAGGAGGCACTCCAGGAAAAGAGAAACTTAACACAGTATGAATGAGAGGTGAAGACGTGACCAGCAGAGAAACTGGAGACACAGGTAAGCCTAATAGGCACTGACTGTGCACACAACACTAGTGAGGAAGACCTCGGATGCTAGGCAGGAGGCGTGCACTGTGGAGGTGAAGCATTCTAAACTTTTTGGGGCATTCAAGAAAGGGCTAGGGTTAGGGTTAGTTTGGGACTTGGATAACTCAGTACCCATATTAAGATGGTAATAGTGATCATGGTGTGATTGCCAAACCATCACTGCTACAATCACGGTTTGGTCTGGTGTGACGGTGAGAATGTGACTTTTCTCAACTAACACGGGAACAGCAGAGTGAGGGCCCTCATCACCCTGACCACAGAAGTCAGAGACGAGGGAGCCAAACTGTGGCTCCCAGGTAGCCCCTTCTTCAGAGCAGCCCCCTCCCGCCCTGACCCTCCTCCCTGACTGCTCACCTCATCACTGGCTCTGAAGAAGCTTTTGAAAGTCCGACTCAGGTTTTGTTCAAGTTCAGCCTCAGCCACACCCTGCGACAGTCGAGAAGACAAAGTGAAGGACCCCCGACATTCTGGAAACCAGGCCCCTTCCCCATGTGAATGAAAGCAGGAAGCCCCACCCACGCAGCCGAGTTTCATTAGCATATGAAACTTCAGTATCCGTTTTGAGACACATTTTTAAAAAGACTGAAATAAAATACAAGATGCTAACAGTACCCCCCTTCCCCAAGGTGGGTTCATGGGTGCTGCTTCCTTTATGTTCCCCCAAACTCCTGCCATGAGAATGTGTTACTTGCAATGCTCCCTCTAAAGGGAAGGGAGAAGGGGCTGGCACAGCAATCGGTGGCCGCGGCCGAAGGGTGTTAAGAGGAGAGAGGGCTCGGCAGACTCTCTGAGGAGACCAGGGCTGAGTCAAAGCTGGGCATTCAAGCATCTCGGTTTTGCTGTAGTAACTTCAAATGCAACGCCTTGGATCTGGACCAAAGTTATTACAGACCAGAAGCTGCCGATGGATTGTCTTCTAAAGAACAGAGCAGCAAAGCCCCATTGTTCAAGAGCTGGATTCGCATCCTTTGTAATGACAAATTACCAGGCTCTTCTGCCCGTGGAGGTGTTATTGCATGTAATTGCTTAATTCCTTCCAGTTCCAGCAGGCCAAATTGTGGGTCCTGACTGCTTGGCTGCAGGAGATGGGGAGCAGAGAAGGAGGGGAGGGCGTGGGGCTGTGTGTCTGTTAATTTCTCTTCCACTTCCTTTTTCCTTTTCTTGTGCTTTTGAAATTAACATTCATAAGACACATATCTACTGCCAAAAAGATGCTGTGGTAATGTGGGTGAGGAGTTGACTGTCACACATAGATTTAAATGTCAGAGACATGGTGACCGGTGCTCTGTGTAGAGACTCCATACTCATTAATTCACCTGTCAAATGCTTATGGGGCTTCCAGTATGGGCCAGTTTCTGAGGGGGGTGTAGAGATGAGAACGAGCTCTGTGTGCTGGAGCGGGGAGGCAGGTGGTGAAACGTGGAGGATAAGGCAGCGTACAGGACTGCAGAGGAAGGCACAGGAGACCTGGCTGCCCCAGAGACTGCAGTTAGCTTTTAGCAAAGGATGGCCCTGGAGCTGGGCCCCGGGAGAGGAGCAGACTCAGGTGGGCGGGTTGAGAGGGGAAAGGGCCGGGGATGCGCTGAGACTCCTTAACCTGGGGATAGAGATGGAGAGGGAGTGTTCTAACAAAATAGTCAGGGATCCTTAATGTGGGCTTCAGGAAGTCTGCAGCACCTTGAAGCTGCCACAGGATTTAGCATGCACATTTTCCTGGGGAACAAGTCCCTAACTTGTCAAATGCTAAATCATACAGCGAAGGCAGAGCTGCTGGGCGGGGCAGCCTTGCTGCTGGGGGCTGGTGCTGCGAGCGGCAGTGTCCACTCGCTGGGAGCTGGTGAGAAAGCAGATCCCCGGGTCCTCTCCCAACTCTACCCAACAGGACTCTGAGTTTTACCCTACCCCAGGATGACCTGCACCCCTGGGAGCCCACAACGATCCTGCCCACACCACAGAGGAAGTAGTGGCCCACCAGCAGACAAGAGCTGGGGTGCCCCTGAGCCCTGCAGAGACTCCACCCCAGCAGGGGACCCCCCCAGGTATACTGCCTCCTCTGGCTGGGCCACCGAGGCGCTGCCGGTATCCCTGATCTCAACACAGCCACAAACCAACACACCACACACACCTGGGACGTATCCTTCCCTGCGAGTCACTGCATAAATGAGAAGAGGCACAGACCCACACAGGACTGAGGCGACAGGAGCAGGCCCACTGGGCGCCCGCCTCCCCCTCTGCCTCTTCCTTCCTGCTCTTCTTCCCAGCCACCTCGCCCTGCCATTGCCTTTCTTTGGCAGTGGGAATAAAAACATGAATGAGGGACAGCGTGTGTCCATGAAGAACCCACAGATGGTGAGGAGACCAGACCACAACCAGACAATCCTGGAGAACTTAACAACGTTAAGAATGTAGAAAATAGGAATGATCATGATCATGGATTGATATTATTCTAGGCATCAAACATGGTAAGAACAAGCATTAGCTCACTTAATTCTTACAAAACCCCCATCTTCCAGGTGAGGAAACCGAGGCTCTGGGGAGCAGCTTCCCAGCTCATCAGGGCCAGCACTGGGGCTTGAAACTACGTGTGTTGCAGTCTAAAGTCCATCCCTTAACTCCAGTCTCAGGAGCCAAAAGGAGGAGCCCCTGACCAGCTAGTCAGACAGGAGGGCATTTCTCATTGGTCTGTGGGACTTAAACACCAGCCTTGGCTTTTGTAAATGAGTGTCAGTATCAGCTGGGCACACAGCCAGAGAGCAAATGCTCTTATCTGCTCCTCTTTCTGGCCTTCACCTCTACCCCACTCTCCCTGTCGGCCTGGTGGACTTTGATGAGCACAGGTTATTTGCCCCTGAGCTCTTTGATTCCTTCCTGGCCCTTTGGAGCTACCCAGGCCCCTGTGAGGACAAAGCCCTGCCCATGCCCTGTGGGTCCCCCAGCTCAGGAAGAGCAGCTGCTCTGGGCTGGGGACGGCCCTCCATAAATAAGAGTCGCGGCCGAGGGTGACACAGGCTGGCCAGGGCTGCATCGATCACCCCGAACCAGTCCTGGTCAGCTGCCCCTCCCCCTGGCATTGAGCACGCTGCAGAAGGCTGCGATTGATCTCCACCGTAATTGAATCTCACAAATGGGCGGCGGCGTAATTAAGGGGCCCACGGGGCTTCATCAGAAATCTCCAAGGGCAGAGCAGCGCTGCCGCGTGATGAATGGCCGCCCTCCTGCCCTGCTCCCAAGGCACAGATCCGGAGCTCTCGAGGGCAGCCAGTACAGAACAAAACAAGGTGACCCCTCAGAGTGTGCGAGGACAAGGGCCCGCGGATCACTAGACTGTTTCGTAGATGTGGTTTTAGGACTCTTCTCTGGGAACCTACGTTCAGACCCTACTCTACCCCAGGAGAGCCACAGATTCTGCCCAAGCAGGAGGGGTCCCTGCCTCCAGGAGCCTCCGGGAGCTCCCATTCCCAGCTCTGCAGGGTCAAGAGCACAGGGATGATTTGCTCGTGGTGGAGGTGGGACTGCTTCCTGGAGGAGGGGGACATCCTGGAGGAAGCAGTCTCCAGCCTGGGACAGGCTTCAAGGCCAGGTTGAGGGGAGCAGGCGCTCCCAGATGGAAGTCATGATGTGCTAACCAGGAGGCGGGAGAGCAGAGTGCCTGGTTGGGAGACATTCTCCAGTCCAGCTCAGCGTGCAGGGTGTGTGGCTCTTTCATTAGGGTCTGGGTTGAGGAAGCATCTCTGCCATTCCTGAGCAGGAGACCATGATGCTCAGTGAACCCCTATCAAAGGTGGCAGTGACACCCCACATGCGTATCATCCATGGTCCAGGGGCTACCTTTGACATGTATCTTGTGGTGCATGGGTTAACACACTTGGCAGCTGTACCCAAGTACACACAGCATGCTTGGGACCTGCTGCAGGACTTTTGGTTTTCAGTGAGTGACATAATTGCAAAACTCAGCTCTCCATGAGCAGATACACTAAGTCCTTGGTGACAGGCCAAGAGCTGCAAGAGCTGTCTCCACCATGAGACAGATTTCTCCAGCTTTCCAGCCAGAAAAGCAAGGGCAGGCAGTTCCCAGTGAGCATGCAGACCCCCACTCCTCAATTTCAGAGAAGCAGGACAACCAGTGCAGAGTCATCCTTCCACGCAGGCCCCTCCCCTCCTCCCATCCCAAACACACAGAGATGCACCACCAACCGGAAAAGAACCAGCTCTGCAGCCAGCTGCACCCAAGCCAGGCTGAAAAATCACTTCTGACTAATGACACAGAAAATTAAAGGGGACAGAGATAAAGCAAGAGGCAGAAGGAGGGAGGACAGGGAGGAAAAGTCAGAAGTCACCTCCATGCCCCACACTTACTGGTTCTTGGAAGTAGAGTTGGTAATCAAACACTGGGTTGGCTTTGATAATCTCCATGGGGGACACCTTGGGATTTGCTGGCATGAAGGGAGTGTTCACACTGGCCACTGCCCTGCAGGAATAAGAGGCGCGAAGTCAGAAAGCCTGCAAGAGGACAGTCTACAAGAACCAGGAAGAACCTTGCATGTCAAAAACTACACCTGCCAGGTCTCCCACCAGAAGTGTGTGGGATAACGGGATTAGAACTCAGATACATTTGGATTCCTAAACCAGTGGGATTTTTCCTCCGACTCAATTGCAATATTTCCTCACCTACCTGCCAAGACAACACACACCCATACTACACACACCACATCAAGACTGACTAGGTGATGTAGACACTTGGATCTCTTCCTTATTTTTTTTGGGGGGGGGGGCTGTAAATTGAACCCGCTGCTCTACAACCAAGTTACATCTCCAGTTCTTTTTATTTTTTATTTTGAGGCAGAGTCCAATTTTATTTTGAGACCTGCCTCCAACTTGTGATCCTCCTGCCTTAGCCTCCTGAGTCACTGGGATTACAAGCACCTGGCTGGATCTCTCAACTTAAGAGTGTATTCACTATTTACTTTTTCCCCATTCCTTCATCCACTCACTGTGTCTCCTTGGTGTAGAACATAATTCCATGTTATAGACTATGGAAGGGAAAACATAAAATAAATAAAGCACATCCTCTCTCCTCCAAGGAGTCCATTATAATTTAATAAGGACACACAGAGAGAGAACTGCACAGATGACCGCATCACGAGGCGGACTGTGATAGAGCCATAGAATTGCAGGAAACACCATGAGAGTCCAAAGGACATAAAGAAGGACTGAACTGGACATCATGGAGGCCCTCGGGAATAAGAGAGCACTTGAACCTGACCTTTGAGGGTGGAGAGAGTTGGGGGAGAAAACAGCCGACAGGACCATCCGAGGAAGCAGGAGCAGGGTCTGGAAGTGGACCGAAGTGTGCAGTCCTACTGAGTGGAGGGAGGAGACTGGTCAGAAGCCCAGCGTTTAGTGCGGGAATGAAAACAAAAGCCAGTGGGAGCCTGGACAGGAAGGGCCCGAGTCTGGACTTGAGACAGGAAACCATGAGAGCTTCCAAGCAGAGGGGAGACCGGCTCAGAGTCACGGGGGGAGACTGATCCAGCAGTGACACAGCAAGAGTCCAGGGCACAGAGGTCAGCAGAGGTGCTGCCTGGCTACCCTCACAAGGAGCAGGAATAAGAAGGCGTGGGCTTGAGACCCAGCCGGAAAGCAGAGTTGACAGGACAGTTAGTTGGCCTGGTCTGGAAAGGATTCTGTACCCCACCCAGCCTGGGTCAGAGGAGACAATGTCAGCAGGAGACAGGGACCAGGGAGAAGCCAAGGAAATGAACTGGGAGAGGAGCAGTGTGGTTCAGGCCAGTGCTGGCCGATGTCATATAATTGAGCCACAAATGAAACTTGAAATTTATCCCTAGAGGGGCCAGACTCGTGGCTCAGTGGCAGAGTGCTCACCTAGCACTGTGAGGCACTGAGTTCGATCCTCAGCACCACATAACAAATAAAATAAAGGTATTGTGTCCATCTACAACTAAAAACAAAATTCTTAAAAAAAAATTTACCCCTAGCCACCATAAAATAAATAAAAAGAAAGATTAAATTTTAACATTTAACCAAAGATATCTATAATATTAATAATTCAAAATACATGATTCATATAATCAATAATCATTAATGAGCTATTTCACATTTCTTTCTTTATTCTTTTTTTTGCATGTCCTTGAAACCTGGTTGGTATTTTTCATGTATGGTAAACTCGATTTGATTGGCCACATTTTAAGACCGATAGCCACATGGCTGGTGGCTGCAAGAGAGGGTGGTACAGATTACAGTATAAAATAAATTATACGGACGGCTATAGGCTTCTAATGTCACAATAGCAAACCTATTTTAAGCATCACTTAAGTCACAGATCAAGAAAATTTTAGTTTTTAATAAATATTCTGAGGGTAAAAGGGTTTTCTTTTTTAATAAACTTCACACAGGGGCTGGGATTGTGGCTCAGCAGTAGAGCTCTTGCTTAGCCCGGGTGAGGCCCTGGGTTCGATCCTCAGCATCACATAAAAATAAATAAATAAAATAAAGGTATGGTGTCCAACTACAACTCAAAAACTAAAAAAAATATGTTAAAAAATAAACTTCACACATAATTTATTCCCCACATATTAAAAAAATTGTCATTGTAAAATGAGGAAAAACACAGCCTCTGGTGGGAGCCGAGTCTCCAGGTGATTGGCAAAGACAAGAAGGATGTCAAAGGGTCTTCCTGGGCCAGTGAGTGAGCAGCCCTGAACCAAATAAGCCCAGAGCTGATCTCAGTAGAAAATCAAACAAAGGATGGGAAGAGATACCCCCATACGGGGGCGATTTTCCCACTTACTGTCTGGTTGGGGAAGTGCAGGTCAATGTTGTCACCAATATTCTTAAAGGACAGGTTTGCTCCCATCCAGAAGACTGTTTCCCATCACAGACTGCCCTGGAAGAGGGTCTTGGCTCCTCCGCCTCTGGGGACTGCAGCGGCAGGCTGCCCAGTGACAGCCGAAGTGACAGCCACCACTGCCAGGGCCACGGTGGACACGCCAGAGAACAAGAAGTGGAACCGGAAACCAGAGCACGCCGAGGGGCCTTGGATCTCACGTCATTTGGGCAAAATTTTAATTCTCATGGGAGAGATTAAGTTCAGTAAAACAACAAGGTGTTTTTATTTTTCCTTTAATCTCCTTTAAGGAAGTTTCTTGCTATAGTTCCTCTTGTTCATTCCTAAAAGCACATGTCATGCCCACGGAGCAACTGTTTGGTTAACTTGACTTAAGAACCAAGCTCTTGTTTCCATTGCCGAGGGTGGGTAGGGGTGTTAGGAAGATCAGCAGAACAAGAGCACAGGAACTTTTTAAAAATCTGTGTATACGTGGCCATATAACTAATGTGATTCTGCAACCTGTACACTTGGAAAAATGAGAAATTATACCCCATTTGATTCAAATGTATGATATGTCAAGATCATTGTATTGTCATGAGCAACTAATAAAAAGAATATTTTAGGAAATGTTTGATCCTTTTTAGTCCTGGACATAACCTGGCCATGTGAGCAGGGGCTGAGGCTGAACCCAGTTCTCTGGACAGAAACTTAGCTATTGAGAAAATAACTGGATCAGCTGGGATGCAGAGGGCTGCTGAGAACCACGTTTACCTCACTCTCTAGGTGGGGCTCAGGCCGGTTTTGGCTGTGACTTGCCAGCCAAAAGGGGTACAGCCACGAGGCCACCCACTGTCTGGGCTCCAGACCTGACATCTGGAGCTGCTGCTGGAGACTGGAAATGCCTCTCTCTGGTCACATGCTGCCTGATGGTGAGGGCGAGACGCCATGTCCAGGTCTCACTGCCGCCTGTGGCTCAGGAGGCAGGCCTGAGAGGTGAAGTGATCCGTCCCCTAGCCACTTTGGGGCAGGATGGAAGGGCAGGTGCTCTGACTCCACCCAGAGGAGCACTCTCCCCTGCACTCGGACACCTTCCTCCTCACCTGTTCCCTCAGAGTCTGCCATGGATCTCCACTAGCCACCGGGCCCTGGATGATTTGTCCCAGGACCAGTAACAGGCACAGGCGCTGCTCCCTAAGACGAGAGCTCCTGGTGAACCTGTAACGGCCCTGAAGACCTGGGCGGGGCCACTTTCCCACATCACCCATTAGTTTTCAAGAAGTCTCGCGGGAGGGAGATCCGAGAGACAGTTTCAAGGCATTGAAGTCCAGTCTCTCCAGACGCTGGTTATGCGTGGCCTGCTCACCTCACTCTGTCGGGGTAGAAGAGAGCCATGCTCCACACCAGCACGCCGGCCCAGTCGTGGCCAATGAACACTGCTTGCGGGATGCCCTGGTGGAAGAGAAAGCAGGGACCCCATGTGGGAGAGCCCAGCGCCTCGCCCTGCAAGCCCAGGGTCTCCACAGACCCCTCGAGAGCTTCCCTCGACGTTCACCCTCCTCAGTCCTCCATCCCTATACATCTCCAGCCCCACACCCTCTCTCCAGCTGGCCTTTTCCTTCTCATGGAAGACTGAGGCCACTGGCCACGAGTTCCTTCCTCTCGTCACCTTCTCTCAATCCGACTGCGTTTCCCCTTTGCTCCTTCTCTCCTAGGTGAAGTAGACCCTCCCTCCCCAGGTTCCGCATTCACATTCCACAGACTACGATTGCACCCTCGCTCTTTGGGGAGTGCCCCTTCCAGTCCAAAAGCATCTTTGTCTCCCCTTTCCCTTCTGCTTTGCTGCTGATGACAACAGCTCCCCTCTAATGAGCACCTACTACGACCGCGAGGTCTTGACCTCCATATGAGGTATTGAACCCCTCCACTAACCTCAATACCCATTTCACAAAGGGAACCGGGCTCCCACCCTCAAATACACCAGGCTCTCTCCTCTACCCCAGCTGCTGCCCCAGTCGGCCACCTCAGGGCCGTTCAGACCCTCCCCACCTTGGTGGTCCCTAGCTACAGTCCCTGCCGTGCTCTGCTCCTTCACACCATCAAACTTCTCATGGTGGTTTGCACCAGTTGTCTCCCTAAGCACCATCTAAGTCCCCAAAGCTTGGCTTCTTCCCTCTCATCCCCAAGTCCAGTGCCACCTCCCGCTGAAGGCCCCTGCTCGCCAGCAACGGTGGGTGTGGGTTTCCCCTCCTCAAGCTCCCTGCTCTTCTGCAGCGTCAGACATTTCCTCTGCCACTGCCTTCCCATGGCTTCATGGTGCTGGGCCTTCCAGCCTCGCGTGCCCCTGGCTCTGCTCTCTCCTGTGCCTCTCAAGGGCAAGTATTTTGCCACTCGGCTGTCAGGACTGTCCTTCTGAATGGACACTGTCCACAGAGAATTCACCTGCTCCAACCACTTCAGCTACCACCCCGGGGGAGGCAGAGGCCCACCTGGTCTGCAGGTGGCCCAGGCTCCTTGCTGCATGTCCTAGCAATGACCCAAAGATGGACACCTGATTCCACTGACCTGTACCCACAAGCCCCTCTTTCCACAGTTGGACATGTTCTCAGACAGCTGGAAGTTTTGTAGTGAGAAGTCACAGAGAGTCGCTGACCCTTTGAGCTTGGACTTCCAACCTTCAGAACTGTGAGGTCTGGGCAGCCGCACCAGGCCATGCTCACTTGGAGGTCTCCATCACACACGACACTTGCAAACCCAATTCCATCCACGGAGCTGAGACCGTGCCGAGGGCAGACCCCCAGCTCCTCTCCTCCCATGCACCCTGTAGATCTGGAAGTTGGCGGTCTGAGTCTTCTCTCCACCCCCACATCTCATTAATAAGCCGAGTCCCTCTGCCTTGCGGTTCTCTCTGCTCTATCCCTCTGTTGTCACTGACCTGGCATGGCCGCGGTCCCCAAGACTGCCCTGCAGGTTCTTTCTGCCCCCAGCCTAATCTGGGGAGGCAGAAGACATGACAGGGCAGGGTCTGGGGAACAGTGGTGCTCATTCCATTCATCATCACTGAGATTGACATGGCCAGCGATGCCAAATGAAGGCGTTAGCCCTTAGATTTGTCAGAGTACATGATGGCACAAAGCTGTGAAGCGATAGCCTATGGGACATTTTCCAGTGCCTTTCCCTGGTACCCAAGGCTCTCCTCCCTGGCCAGCCCAGCAAAGGTACTTCCCTCTACTTCCTGGAACAGAGAAGCATGCCTACCCCATACTGCCCTCCAAACACTCCCTGTCAGTCTTTGTCACTCTCCTCCCCAGCTGCCCCAGGTGGGCCCATCCCCTGCCCTGGCTATCTCTGCTCAATGGTGCCGACAGCTGAATGGCAAAGGCCACACAGAGTTCTCCAAAGACACCTGCTGTGCCCATTGACCTACCAGCTTATCCAGGAAGGTGACCATTTCCTAAGAAAGAAAACAGACATAAAATCAGAAATCGAATCCACCCACCCCATCCTCCTCAAGATCCTGGTTACTGTGTTTGTGCCATGAGCTGATGGCGTGCCCCCTTCCTACGTGGAAGCCCTAACCCCCCGTCAGACTGTGACTGTGTTTGAAGACAGGGTCTTTAAAAATGAAGTCCTTAGGGTGGGACTATTCCAATATGACAGGTGTCTTCATAAGAAGAGATCAGGACATGGACACCCACAGAGAAAAGGCCAGGTGGGAACACAGGGAGAAACCAAGGAGACGCATCTGCTGGCCTAGGAGAGAGGACTCAGGAGAAACCAACCTGCTGACCCTTTGAGCTCTGACTTCCGACCTTCAGAACTGTGAGAAACGTACGTCTGCAGTCAGTGGGGCTGTGTCATGGCAGCCCTGGGTGCCTGAGACAGTCACCAAAGAAGACTTTGGCTGAGGGTTCTCCAAGATTCCTAAGGTGCCTAATGGCAGCAGCACACTAGAGGTTCTCAGTGAGGACCAGGGCTAGGGAGTGTCCCCGTGTAAGGGAGAGTCTTCCAGGCTCAGGGTCTCGCAGGAGGCAGGGTGCAGAATTTTGGTCCAGCTACAGTGGACAGAGTGACCCGAGTCCCCATCAGCCACATACGAGGGATGGGATTCGCCTTTCACATAAGCACAGGAACCCATTCACATTCTCCTTCTAGGGACGCCAGCTGATGGTCCTGTCCAAAGCCCTTCGCCCAGCACGACCGTCTCCTTCAAAGTAGCTCCTGACTTTCCCTTTTATTCTTTGACCTTTGGGGTTCTCAAACTCGCTCTCACCCTTGCCCAGGTACCTGATGCTGCTGTCTGGGGGCCTCATCTCTGCAGCACCTTCTCCCTTTCAGCTGTGGGAGCAACTCAAAGCCTGGGATTTTGCTTCTCAGCAACTTTTAGTGGCTGATTAGGGGCAAGGTGGAATCAAGGTCAATAATTCCAGGACAGGTAGATCTTTAGTGCCCCTGTGGCGATGCAGAATCTTATTTCTAACTACAGCCTCATTTTCACAGCTTTACTGATCCCAGGAAAAGTGGTTTCCAGAAAGAGGGGTCTGGGCTAATAGACATTCTCCAGGGCTTGCCCGTGTCACCACTGGAAAACTCACCGAGGAAGCTCCCCAGCCAGGCCAAAAGCGTGGAATCACCCTGGCACGACATGGTACCCTCATCCTCCCAGGAAGGAGCACGTGCCCTGCCACTGCTTCCCTCCCCAGTGCCCCCTCCTCAAGGCGAGACCCGGTAAGCTCCCAGACCTGTGTGGAGAACACTGATCTGAATCATCGCTTCTGTCTCATGGCTGCGTTGTGCTGGGAACTTCCTGTGCAAAAGTGCAAGTTAAGATGGCCCTTTGCTATGGTGACGCCAGCCTGAGAAGTCTATATACAAAGATGTAGAGCTGTATCAGTCTGAAACTCCAGCTCGGGCACCCACTCCCGGGGATAGAGAATTCTGGGCATGACAAGAATGGATGTCGTGCAAATTCCACTGCAACGTTCAAGTCAGTCTGCTTTTCTGAAACTTTCTCACAGATGAAGTTTATATATAATAAAACCTATATAATAAATGTGCTGAGCTAACTCTGAGTCAGTCACACTCCATCAGAGGTTGGCTAACCACCGGGCCCCAGGTTTTCCTCTCCATGTGTCCATTTGTCTTTTCTTCATCTCCCCTTGTCCCTGGCCAGTTTTCCCCTGAATTAACAGCCACAGCTGAGAGATGAGAGGGCCACAGCAACCTAGAATACACACCCACCAATAAAGCACACCGAGAGCCTGCAGTGCGGCACTGTCTGAGCACTGGGGTATGGCAGCAGGCAGAACACACCCCTGACCTCAGGGGACCTTAATTCAAAAAGACAGATGAACAGTGGATGGAACATGCCAGGCTAGCCCTGCCCCTCCCCCCACCTACAGTGGTCACTCTGTCCCCTCTGACTCTTGAAGTCTCTGGTGAAAATCCTGGATCCTCCCCCTGGAAACGCACATGGGCACCTGTGTCTCAAATTCTGCAAACTCTTCCAGGAGTTCATGGCCCTTTAGGGTCCTGAACACCACAGATGACATGTCCCCACTTAATGGCACATGGCCACGTCTTTTCACTTCCCAGTCCACCGCAGAGGCTGAATGAGTTCAGTGTTCCCCCCACCAGAGCGCACAGAATCTTACTCAGACCCGGCAGGTGCCTGGGACAACGTAGCCCAACCATTCACTGCACGTTACACCTGAGCATATGACCTGCCACAGGCAAGTGACTCACCCAAGGTCACACAAAGAAAACTGGGGGCAGCCAAGTCTCTACCTGTTAATGAGCTTCGGAGATCCTATGGCTCTGCTGCATTCCAGCATTCCCAACCAGGAAATCTAGGACTACAGAGGCACAGGGAATGGGCTGACAGATTCCGTAAAGGTGCCTATTCTAAAGCCAGTCAGCCCTCTGCACACCCGTGTTCAGTGGCCAAGAGGCGGAATCACACTTGTTGAGTGGACGAAGAGAACGTGGCACATACACAAAGAAATACTCTTCAGCCACAAAAAGAATGTCATTCTGTCATTTGTAACAACACACACAAGCCTAGAGAACTCTGTGGTAAGTGAAACAGGGCAGACACAGAAGGCAAATACCACACAGCGTCACTCAGACGCTGAATCTCATACATTTGACCTCATGGAAGCACGAGGTAGAACAGTGGTCACCAGGAGCCGAGGTGGGTGAGGGTGAGAGCAGATGGTCAGTCAAAGGAGGCGGGGTTACAGTTAGGTGGCAGGAATACATGTCAATAGACCCACTGTACAGCAAGGTGACTATAAATAATGAAGATATACTGTATTCCCAAGAAATGTACAGGGTAGATGTTTATGCTCTCCCCTCGAAAATGATACCCATGTGAGCTGATATTACTGTTACATTCCAAAACGCATGCACAGTTCAAATCATCATGTTGCAAATAGGACAAGACACACCACGTTACCTGTTAATTTGAAAAGTGAAGCTAAAATTGGATCTTTAGCTTTAAAAAAAATTGTGTAAAGTATTGTCATGCAAATTTAGGGAATTGGGGTTGAAAAAATGAATTTTCAATATATTGTGGGGGATAGAGTTGAAAAAATGCTTTTTATGGGCCTTGACAGCAGGCAAAATATCCCATTTTCTGTAATGCTGTCTTTAAAGTTAATGTAATTAACTATTAAAATCTTACACTAACAATACTATGATAATTTTTAAAACATCAACTTTATTGATATGATTCACATGCCACAACATCCTCCCTTTTAAAGTGGACAGTTCAGGGGTCTTTATTAGATTCACAGAGTTGTGAAACCATCACCATTATCCAGTTTCAGAACATCTTCTTTGCCTCAAAAAAACTGCATACTCGCTGGCCGTCACCTCCCCTTTTCCTTCCCTGTGCTTGGCAAACAACCACTCCTATGATTTCGGGGCCTATAGATTTGCCTGTTCCAACTGTTTCAGATGTAACATGTACTTTTTGTAACTGGCTTCTACTGAACACAGTGCCTTCAAGGTTTGCTCGTGAGGAAGCGTGCACCACTACTTCAGCACCGCTGCGTGGTCAGGAATGGTCTAGCCCATGGGTGGACCACATTTTGCGTGTCCATTTGCCAGCTGATAGACAGTTGGGTGGTTTTCACTTTGTAGCTAGCATGAATAGTGCTGTGTCAACCCTGGTGTCTGGTTTTCTGGGGGCACATGTGATGGATCCTCTTGGGTAAACTCCTAGTTTAGTGATGGTACAGGTGGCCTGGGAGGACCGGAGCGTCCCTCTTTACCTTGTTTGTTTGGGGCAGCAGGACCCCCTCAGGAGTGCGGTTCTCTGAAGCGACCCCTCATGCCCACACCAAAAATAGACTCTGACAGGTCTAAGTGGGGGTCCACGTGAGTGGACAGCAGTGGGACAGGAAGAGGGTCCCACTCAGGGTCACTGGGGAGATCCTGGCTGCAGGGGAGTCACCAGAAGATGGCGAGCAGGAGAGGGGGAGAGGCAGACCTGGGACTAAGGAAGAACAGGCTCGTCTGGAAACTGGGCTTTTCCCTGACTTGCTGCTGTGCGGCCAAAGCCCCCTGTGGGGCCAAAGCCCCCTGTGGGGCTGAGGGCCGGACACACAGGGAAAAGGTGAGAGGCGGATGAGGAGTGTGACCCACAGGATTCCGCCTTAACCTGCCTAACACTCGGTTTCCCCGGGAAACACACCAAACGCTTCATGCATGTTGGTGATCACTTAGAAAAGCCACCCCAACTTGCAGGAAGGATTCCCACTCAATGCCGTGCAATGCACTTTCTTAGGGTTTAACTGGACACCCGAGCTTCTGGCTTCCATCCACAAAAACCTGGAGTGGAAAACATGTTCCAGGTGTTATCAAAGATCCTTCTTACCTTACATAACACTTCCATGGCATATTCTTCTATTTCTGCAATTCAAAAAATAGAGAAATACATTTGACTCACATGATTCAAAATATAACAACAAACTAAAAGGACCCCTTTGCAAAACAAACCAACCAACCCCAAACTTCTTACGTTGAAGTCTCCAGTTCTTTGTGACCCTTTGTGTGTGTGTGATGTGAGACAAGGGCCTGGTTTCATTCCTGTGCATGTCCCCTACTGCCACCTGCTGAGACCATCCCTCCCCCATCTGCACTCTCGCACCCTTGTCCAGAGTCGGCTGACAGTAAGTGGATGCTGCTCCGTTCTGTTCCACTGGTCTATGTGTCTGTTTGTAGGTTTGGGCTGTGCGGTTTAATTACTGTAGATTTATAGTAATGTCTGGAATCAGGAAGTGGGATCTCAATTGCCTCCAGCTTTGTTCTTTTTCAAGATTGAATTTGCTGTTTATGACTTTGGTGGTTCCATATAAATTGCAGAATTGCTCTATTTCTATAAAAAACACCACTGGAAGAATGGCTGGGCATGAACATGGGGACAAAGGGGTGAATGGCAGCTCAGCTCACTCATCCTGTCCACCACCGTATCACTGACACCAGGAAGGACCTGGATGGCACTCATGCCTGGCCACTCTGCATCTCTGCCCTCTGTGCCTGAGGCTCTTAAGAGTTCGGGGCTGAGGACCCACTGGAACTAGTCAAAACAAAGGACTCTAACCACGGGGAACAGGCTCATAGCCCCATTCACAGACTCAGGGTTCCCAGGTCATCTACTGACCATCTGGATAGATTCCCACAGGGATCCACAGACACTGGGTTAAGAATCTGACCTACAAATCACCACCAGACCCTGCCCTTCTACTTCTGGGTAAATATCCTAAAGAATGAAAAGCAGTGGCTCACAGATACTTATTTGTACACTCATGTTCACAAGAGCATGACGTGAAGTAGCAACTCAGGTGTGCTCAGGTTCACACAGGTGCTCAGGATAAGCAGAATGTGGTGTGCACACACACGAACTCTCATTCAAGTGCGGCGCGGTGGCACAGGCCTGTAATTCCAGTGGCTTAGGAGGCTGAGGCAGGAGGATCACAAGTTCAAAGCCAGCCTCAGCAACAGCGAGGCGCTAAGCAACTCAGAGAGACCCTGTCTCTAAATCAAATACAAAATAAGGCTAGGGGTGTGGTTCAGTGGTGGAGTGCCCTGAGTTCCATCCCAGGTATGCCCCCCCCCAAAAAAGAATTAGCATTCAGCCTTAAGGAGGAGGAAGGTTGGCACTATGCCACGACACGGATGACCCTGGAGGACGTCAGGCTAAGTGAAAGGAGCCTGTCACAAGAGGGCACACCCCATTTCCATATGTGAGGACCTGGAGGAGCCAGTCCCTGGAGGGAACAGTGGCAGCGCCAGGGGCTGGGGCCGGAGAGGTGATGCAGGTGGCAGAGCAGCCTGTGTTCTATACCCCTGGTGACCAGCAGGAGGCTCCCTGGGCACAGGCCTCGGGCTCCTGGGTTCATTTAGAGCATGGGGAACGGGCACTTGTGAGCCCCGAGGGCACAGACAGAGGACCCCTTAGGATGGCTACCGTAGCCAGGGGTAGGAAAGCCTAGGTGCTGGAGAGCTCAGACAGGGAGACGCAGGACCACACAGGACAGCTGCAGGACAGCCAACCCACCTGGAGGGGAGGACGAGTCTCCATAGCCTTTCATGTCCATAGCCAGAACCCGGTAACCCGCCTGAGCCACAGCAGGGATCTGGAAAACAAACGATTCAGGCACCCGCCCCACGGCCTCATCAGTCCTGCCGAACCTTCAAGACTGGTTCCTCTAGCCCCTGCTCCTAAAATGGGTCATTCCAAAGTCCACAGGGTACTACCTGGCCTCCTCACCACAGAGCTGGAAGGGGCCCCCAGGCAGGGCCGCCATGAACAGTGGCGGGGTTTGTGCACTGTGTCAATGACACATTTAGGAGGGCACCTTTTACCAAGATTCTCAGCAAGATTTTATGAGAAGAACCCGCCTTTTCCCAACTGGTTCAGGTGCTGTGGGGCCTACCACAGCTCTGAGATCTGGAGCCTTCTCCACAGAGGCCCCTTTGGAGACGATGTTCCACTTCCTCATCACATTCCAGACTGGCCACCTCTCCCGGATGTCCCCCCTCCTCATCCTGCCTGGGGCGTGCCTTCCTTAGTCTCCCTTACCTGGTACCTCCAAGAGAACCAGCTCTCAGGAAACCCGTGGCAGAAGATCACCACGGGGCCGGAGCCCAGCTCCACAAAATGCAGACGGACCCCAGGCTGTGGGAAGAGAGGGAGGAGACAGTGACCACCGAGTCTGGCACCCCTCCTGCAGGCCACCTGGCACGGGCCACTTCAGTGGGTGGCTGGATCTCACAGGACCCCGCTTTCCAAGCTAGGACCCAGGGCTGGGTGATGGTGGCCGGCAGGGCGCTGGTCTGCCTGCACTGACACAGGCAGCTCTCACTTCAGAGTGGGAAGGTGACGAGGCTGGACACCAACAGACGCAGAGGGACCTCCCCTTCCCTGTGTTGTTCTGAAGAGTCTTCAGCACCTGCAACTGGGGGCTAATTTTGGACAAAGCTAAATGTTCACGGCATGGTGAATACCACGATCATTTTATTAGGAGCTGTGTACTCCTTGGCCGCGGGGTGGGGGGGGACTTTGCTACACTTGTAATCCTTTCTGAGGCTGCAGGAGTGGGCAGAGACCACCAGTGCTCACGACATCTGCATTCTCCCTTCCTCCTGGCACAAGGTGGCATTCTCCAGGCACCCCCACCCCCACCTTACAGATGGCTATGGGACTGAGTTCTGGCCAACAGGTATGACCAGAAGACATTCCCCACCAGGGCTTTCTACGCTGAGCCCTCCTTCCCTTTCCCTCTCTGCACCACCAGTCCTGCAGACCACCAGTCCTGATGAAGGTGGAGGCACTGAGAAAAGGCACCTAGGCTCTTAGGTGACTGCTGGAAGGAACCCACACTCCCGTGGTGCAGATAAGAAACACACTGGTATGAAGCCACTGAAACAGCAGGATTGCTTGTTATAGCATCTAGCCCATCCTGACTATCACAATGGGCTCTAAGCAAATAGACCAAAGTTATACCTAACCCAAGTGCCCTATTTCCCTCAAAGTGCACGTCTCCAACATTCTGAGGGCAAGGCACGAGAGTAATGGAGTCTTATCACAGAGATTCACTAGAAACTATGCACTTGGTGGATTTCAGTGGCTCCAAGCTGGTGTCCCACACTGCAAGATTTGTGATTCAAAACAAGCTATCTTGCTCAAGAGAACATCAGGTATGCATCTTGCAAACCCTTTCACAAACTACATTCCATTCACTGAATATATTCTGTAGTCTTCCCATTAGCATTTGGCAGAAGTTAACTTTAAATTCTCAATTCCTTATGTTGAAAATTGTGATAATGTTTATGCTTGATCCTAATTTGCCTCTATTATGCATCCCAACTATAAAATTCTCTTGCTGCCTCATATTAAACTCAGCTGAGAAATTCATAAATGTACGCACCTTCCTATCATTTTTTTATGTTTAAAAAATGGCTGTAAAACCAGAACAAGAGAATTCTGGCTACCAACTCAGTTTAGGTGGCATTAGGCTTTGATAGCCTGGCCAGCTGGGACTCTCCAGAGGTCAAATGAGGAACCTATTAAAACTGTCAAGCAGCGAGAAAGTGCTAGACTAGCCCTACCCACAGTGGAGGGGAGTAATGTTTACATCCCACACCCTAGTCCTGGGCAAGTCTTCCCTCCCTCCCTGTCAGGGAGTTGAGATCTGAAGGGACCTTATTAAACATACACCCCTTCAGGAGGACCCAGAGGTCTAGGGGTGACTGCAAGGATGCTGACCAGTAGCTTATAGCAAAAAAGAAAATCCTTTTTTATAGTCCAAATCCCACTGCCCTCCATGGTCCCCTTCATGATACCCGCCAGCTACATTGCCATCACTTAGGGTGGACTTCACAGTTGGGGTCTCCCCCCGCAGAGCCCCATTCTGAGCACATCTGGGCACAACTATTGCACAGGCACTTCATCCTGTAATGGAACTGCTGGGGCTTGAACATATTTCATTAGACTGCAACACCTCTGGGGTCACAGAGGGCCCCTCATTCATCACAGCACTTCTATCTGCACCCAGCAAACAGCAAACGCTCCGTCAACACATGTGGAGTCATCCTCCAGGTCAGCAAGTCTCCGCACGGTCTCTGAGGGCAGCGCAGCTCACTCTCCACCTCCTGACCGTGGAGAACGCAGGGGTCAAGCCCTGTGCCTGGTGATCTGGTGTGGTGTTTCATCTAATCCTAAGCAGAAACCTACAGGAAGGTAAGGCCATCATCCCTTCATGAAGCGGTGGGTACTGAGGCTCAGGGTGGGCAGTGGCTGGCCCACGGCTGTGAGCTTAGTGAATGGCAAGGTCAGATTCAGCCTGGTCTATCTGGCCTCACCCTGCTCTTGAGCTGACCCCTGCTTTAGATCTCTTCCCATTTAATGCAGCCAACGACACATGAAGGAAGATCCCAAAGTGGATCCATAAGGACATCCTGAAGCTTCGGGTCAGCCGCTGGGGGAGGTCTGCTGGCAGGGCAGGAGTCAGGGCCCCTCTGCACCTGGTCTTGGCCTTGCCATGGCCCTGCCCACTGGGCACCATAGTGACCTCGTCCCTCCCTTCACCTCGATGGACTCCTTGTTCATCCCTGTTCTCCTGGTATCCAGCCTGCGCCTCACACAAAGGAAGTGCTCTCACTGCCCAGTGAGAAGGGCTCTGCCCAGAGCACAGGCAGGATGGGCACAGGCTCCCGCACACAGGCTGCCAGGCCCCACATTCCCGGGGGTTTGGCCACATCGGCCGTGCTGATTAGGGTCTCTGACTTCTATTACTTTTTCGGGAATGAGACCTTGGTGAAACCCTTCCTCATCAACGGTGGATGTTCAGCTCCCCTCCATATTTCACAGGTGACTCAGCAGGAGGCTCACCCAGGCCTGGTCAGAGAGCCCCGGCTGACTTACCTTTACTGTCACGTACCCATGGCTCACGTCACTTGGGCTGCAGGGGATCGGCAGAGGGGCCACAGAGTGGAGCAGCTGAAAGGAGGACAGGAACAGTGAGGGACAAGGGACAGCCTCCTTCCCTGAGGCCCTCCCTATATCCTCCCCAGTCCTGCTGGTGCCTGACCACCCAGTCTCTCTCCCCCTTTTGGGCCTAGATAGACTCCATTTCCCAAATAAATTTGTGCAAGATTGTGGAATTGTTACACGTATACTTTTCTTTGTTTATTAAAGATGGGCAGTAAACCATTTTCTATTCTGTCCCTCCTCAGATTCATATGCTAAAGCCTTCCCCACAGAGCCTCGGGTCTTTAAGGAGGTAATTAAGGTAAAATGAGGTCATTAGGATGGCCCTAATCAATATGACTGATGTCCTCATCAAAAGAGGAGATTAGACACAGGTACCAAAGGAAAGCCTGTGCAGAGGAGAAGCCAGCCTCAAGCCACGGAGAGAGGCCCCCAGGGAACCGACCGTACTGGGCTTCTAACCTCCGAGAGAAACAGACTTCTAGAGCTGAAGCCACTGGTCAGTGAAACTCTGTTGCAGCAGCCCTCACCGACTGGTATCTCCCTTGGAGGAAATGGCTGTGAAGCCCTGGAGTGTGCCCAGCTCAACAGGGTTCCCGACTCCTGGCCTCCCCCAGCTCCTGCAGACAGGAGCCAGGGCCTGCGCCCCAGAGGCTGGGGTAAGTCTGCTCCTGCGGGGCTTGGTGTGGTCAGGGACCTCGGGTGGACCCAGAAGAACAAAGGTGACCAGGTCTGAGGTGCTGCTCATCTCCAGGCAGCCCAGGGACCTTAACTCTGTGTCATCCTCCTATGTGAAAGACAGATGTCAGGGACCTTAACTCTGTGTCATCCTCCTATGTGAAAGACAGATGTCAGGGACATTAAGTCTGTGGCATCCTCCTATGTGAAGGACAGAAGTCACCTAGGAACTTCCTTCTGACTGCCAAGAAGGCGTGAGCCAGATGGAACTGGTCAGCTGCACCTGAGGCCCAGTGGCACGTCCATGGACCAGCGAGGTCTGGAGGCTCCGAATGTCCCTGTCTTGCCTGGTTCCTGAGTGGGCACTGAGCCTGGCTGAAATGCTGGCGTTTGGCTTGTCTGCTTCCTGCTCACAACCGCAGAGAGAGGAGATGTTCTCCAGGGACTGCGTGGCTCACGGTACTGTGGGCAGCAGACGCCTCTGTGGAGGGGAAGCCGGGTTCTCTGTGGACACCCCAGACACCAGCAGGAAGCTCGCTCTCCTCAGAGACAAGTTACCTGCGTCCCCGTGACTCTCTCCAGTTCTCTCAGGGCAGTGTTGGTGTCGTGGACGAGGATGGTGACCATTCCCAAGTCACGGGCCGGCTTCAGATTAGTCCCGACGTCATCTAGGAAAGCCACCTGAACCCAAAACAGCACGTCAAACCAAGGAAAACTCCTGTGAGAGGGAGTGCACCCGAAAGCAGGCCGCCACAACACGAGCAGGGCTCCTCCAGCACAAGGGCCTCGAGAACCCTCCCAGCGTGCCCACTGAACACCAGCATTACACCGCACACACACGAGCACAAGGCCACAGCCCTGTGCCCACAGAATACCTGTGTGGGTTTCAGCCGGTTCTGAAGCTGCAAGAAGATTCAGGAGGATAGACACGTGTCAAGAACACACTACCACCCACCTGGGAAAATCGACAAGTCCAAACGGACCTGGCGCAGCTGCAAAAGAACTCTAATGAGGGCAGACAGTGAAACAAGTCATAAACAAGAGCAGAAGAGTTTGGTTCTAGAAAAGAAAACAGAAGTGTCTATGAAATAGCAGAGAATCTAAGATAGACCCAAATGCAAATGAGAATTTGTTTTCTGATGGGGGAGTCGTGTCCCTTCACAAGGAGGACTGATGCAAGGCCTTGGTGACTGCTTGGTTAACTGGGGAAAAAGCAGAGCCCCCGTCCACGTCACCCCCAGAGTCAATTCTGAATGGGTCGCAGATTTAAATCTAAAAAGAAAAAAGACTTTTGAAGTTGTAGGGGGAAAAGCATGGGTGTGTTTGTTTAAAATCTTGGACCAGGACAGCCCAGAATTCTAAGCAGCTCATTCCACCCAAAGGTTATAAAAGGGGGGACTGGTAGACTCAGGGGCACATGGCACCTTGGAGCTGCTCCCTGCCAACTGCAGCTGCTGGAGAAAGGGTCCTCAGGGGTGGGGCCAGGGTCTGAGGTGGAGTCAGCAAGAGAGGGTCTAAATTAAATTTTGCAATCACCCGAGGAGATGAGCATAGGAATCCACAGTGAAAACGGTGTCTTAGCTAGAAAACGTTGGAAGACAGTATGAAAGACAGGCTTTGGGGCACACAGGTGCCTAGAAGGAGACTGAGGCAGCATGGGGACCCTTCCCTGCTCACCCTCAGGTGGGGTGACCCTGACAGCCCACGTGGCCTTGGAAAGTCTCCCAGGGTCTCTGGCTTTTCATAAATAAGCTTGGAAGCTGGTCTAACAGCTTTAGATGATACCTGTTCTACTCAAGTCCTGTAAGAGATTCCCAGGGGCCAGGTGTTCACCTCTGATAGAACTCTCTAGACTGAAGGATAGGTACCAGTCCTTTAGGAGAAGTCCCAGACTGGGAGAAACAGACCTGGACCTGCCCTGCCAGGCCCTAAATGTGCCCGACCTGTAACCTTTCCCTTTTTCCTCCAGTTACGGTATCTCTGGTACCTTCGTTTTCCCTGAAAGGAAGCATCTGCATACCTCGCTGGGCTTGGCCTTCAGGGTGTCCAGTAGGCACTTGTAGATCTGAGGCTCGGGCTTGACCATCGCAACCTGACAGGACTCTATCAGGAAGTCGAAGTGTGGGTTCAGCTCACACATGAGCTTGGCCAGGCTGTCCCTCGTGGCGCTGTCATCCAGCCAGTTGTTGGTGAGGATGCAGGTCACAAACCCTAAGCACAAAGTCACCCGTGAGCAGAGCGGCCACTGCAAACTGAAGCTCAGACAAGTAGAAGCGGCCAGAGTAACGGGGCTGGGGAGGGTCCAGCGCTCCGTCTCTGCTACTGCCAACTCTGCCTGGCTGCAAGCACCTTCCTGGCTCTCAGGAGCTGCATCCCCACGTCCAAACAGAGAAACAGAAACAGAGGTAGCATCATCCCCTGGCTTGGTCTGCCCAGCCAGCCCGGCTGAGAACCAGGTGATGTTGGAGATGTGACACAAGGTGAGGCCTTTCCATGGAATATGAGGGAGCAATGATGGACATGGGATGGTGCTGCAGTTTAAACATGCTCGTCAAAAAGCTTGTGCTGGAAACTTAACCCCCAGTGCTAAATCGTTGGGTGGAGGAGTCTAAGGAGCAGTGATCTGGGCCAGGGGGGCCCTGCCCTCATGAATAGATTAGTGCCCAATTATAAAATGGCTTGAGGCTGCAAATTAGATATCTTGGTCTCCAGCCTGCAGGCCTTTTGTTGCCCCTGCCTTCCACCATGGTATTATGTGGCATGAAAACCCCAAAGTCCCCTGATCTTGGACTCCCAGCCTCCAGAACTGTAGGAAATCAATCTTCTTTATAAATTACCCATGTTCAAGTATGCTGTCATAGCAGCACGAGGCGAACTAAGACAGATGACTTAGCCATAACTGCTAAAGTCCACTGGTAATAGGGTGGGACAATTTCAAACATGCCTATGAATAGGAGCCAGACATGGGCACTAAATAAATACTGGAAGAGCATGATCTTGTGTCTTAGATCATGTGACATAATCTAGACTTGGGTCACTTGGCTTGGCTACTCTGACACCCAGAGACTGGGAAAATCATGGTTGCTTAAAAGGTCTTGTTTTTAAATCTGGGATAAAAGATTGGGTCATCACTAATACTACTGGAAGGAGAGAATATGGCTCACAAGACAGTCACTGGTATCAATGGCTTGATTAGATGAAATTATGTCATTTTCTGAGTATTCTAATAGTGCTGTTTGTTGATGTTTGATAATACTTGCAGTGGGCCATGTTTCAAGAACAGTTTTCTGTCAAGGCTCAGAAGATCTGTGATCTCAAAACACACTTGGTCATCCATGGCGTTCACGCTGCCAACGGTCCTGGTATGGTCAGGTCAGAGAATGGCCACTACAGGACCCTTACCCTTCTTTCTGAGATCAAGAGCTGCCTGAAGCATGGGGCGGTTGATGTTTCTTGCTGATATCGCCTTGCAAAAGATTTGGTTTACAGAGAAATTCTCGGGGAGGCGGATTCCAGAAGCTTCTGAGCGTTTCCTGTAGTTTTCTTCCATGAGTGGCACCCACTGTAAAAGCGAATCGAAAAGGGGGACCGTTAGTGGGTGCAGCCACTCACAAAAGCTGTGCAGCACCTACTAAATGTGAACACAGGCATCCCTGTGACCAAGCAATTTCACTCCTAGGAATACACCGACTGGGAATGTCAACATCTATTCCCCAAGAGACGTGGGCAAAACGTCCTCACAGCACTCTTCCCAAGAGTCCCCAACTGGAAACTACCCAGAAGCCCTCTGAGCGGGAAACGGGGGTGGGGCACATTCACACACCTCAGCAGCATCATTCCCAGGAGCCCCGTCTCCTCTGTGTGGGCTTCTATGACAGAACATCAGAAGCTGATCTCTCCTGCGAGCGCTGGGGTCTCCCAACTAACCGCACTCCCACACTCACGATCTAATCACTTCCTGAAGATTTCCCATCCCAATGTGAGGATTCAGCATGTGAATTTGGAGGCCACAGGCATTCAGATGCCAGTGAGCTCCCGCCTGGAAGCCACATGAGTGTCCTCTGTTATGGGATGAATTATGTCCCCTCATAATTCACATGTCGAGGTTCCTACCTCCTGTACCTCAGGGTATGACTGTACTTGGAGACAGGGCACATAGGGGGGTAACTTAGGTGAGAGGGGACAGGTCAGGAGGCCATGGGGATGGGTTCTGATCCTCATAAGGAGAGAGCAGGGCCTGGCGAAACAGGCACAGGTGATGGGGAAAGTCAGGTGGGAGCTGCTCTCGGAGGGGTCGGTGCTGGGGTGGGGCACAGGTGGGGGGCCGTGATGCTAGCTGCGCTTCATTTCTTGGCTGGGTACCGAGGCTACGAGTGTATTCAGTTTGTGACACTCACGCAGCTGTGTGCTGCAGTGCCTCTCTGTTTGCACAGTACTCATAGGTGAGAAGCTAAAAGACAGCAGGCACTTCCAAGAAATCAAGTGACTTGTGTGGTCACTCAGTCTGTAAGTGGGTCCTGTGATTCAAACTCTGGTCTCTGACTCCAAAGTGCACCTATTAGTAGTTATTGAATTAACAGTCCCAGTGGTTCTGTCCTAAAGTAGTTACTCTGGCTGTAGAGTTCCCTGGAATAGTTCTTCAAGGTCTCGGAGATGTCCCCCTGGTTTGACTGTAGTCAAAGAGATTATAGACCAAATGCCCCTTCAACGTCTCCTGGCCTTCTGGGTGGTCCTGGGTGACGGGACATTATGACACTGGGGGAAGATGTGGTCCGGCCCTTGGGATTTGGTGGCTGGTGCAAGGCAGAAACAAGCAGAGTGCGCCTACCCAAGGGTCCCGTGGTGCCCCCTTACCTGGGAGAACGTGATCTGTCCTTTCATGAGGCGAGCAATGGGGCCATCCAGGCCTTCCTTCAGGAAAGGCTCATTCAGGAAGCCTCTGGGGGACACAAGAAACACCGCGGTCAGGTATG